TGCAAGGCCTCGTTTCAATGTTCACCCTAAACTGATGAAGCAAAGGAGCATGATCTGAGGTTGTCCGATTTAGATGATGCACTGATGAAGCTTGAAATAAATCCATCCATTCCTGAATGAATAAAATACGATCAAGCCGCTTTAACACTTTCCCATTTTGACGATTTCCTGTCCAAGTGAAGAGGTTGCCTTATGGTGATAATTCTTTCAAATTGCACCCATTAATCCATAAGTAAAAATCCTCCATCGCTCCTCTATCAGGTTGCGAACTTCCTTCATACTCCTCCATACATCGTATAACATTAAAATCTCCCCCAACCATCTATTGAACTCCAGCATTATTTTCCAAAAAACTCTGTAATTCAGTCCACAAAACTTGTCTCTCCTAACGTGAGGAATTTGCATAATCCGCGGACACTAAGACCTTATTTCCAATCTTCCGATGCTCAACCTCGAAATGAAGCATTTGCTCAGAACCTCCCAGTAGCTTAACCGACCATTCTGATGAAGTAAAGACCCATATTTTCCAGGCATATGCCTCCTGAAACCAGAGCTTATTTTTCAAATCCTCTAATTGCGATAAAGGTAACATAGGCTCAAGTAATACAAAAACAAAGATAGAATGCTGTCGAACTAAAATTTTCAGACGACGTCGGGATGATTTGTTGGCAACGTCATGTATATTCCAAATTAGCTGACTATTCATCAGAAGATTTTTGAGAAGAACTACCATTGAGTCTCGTAGACTTACGAGTTTCAGTTTGTGGGATTTGTTGCTTTTTCGTAGATCCCTTAGTGAAAGAAATATTTTGACTGTGTTAAACATGTGTGCACAGTATGGTATACATAGACAATGAACAGAAACCCTAGCCGTCAACTATGGAAACCCTAATTCGGTTTTCCTTAATTACATATTCTATCATCCCCACAATCGTAGCAGGATTAGAAATCATACCTAGATTGGTTCTAAACAAATAAAGTTTATCTTTCGGTATGGACTTTGTGAAGATATCAACAAGCTGAGACTGAGTCGGGATATGTAAGGCAGAGAGTAGACCAGCAGCAATACGATCACGAACAAAATGAATATCCAACTCAATATGCTTAGTTCTGGCATGATTGACAGGATTGGCCGCCAAGTAGGTAGCAGAGACATTATCACACAAGATGACAGAAGATCTGGGAAGCTTAATGTGAAACTCAAAAGAAGGTGTTCCAACCAAACAGTTTCAGATAAAGCAGTTGCAACAGCACGATATTCAGAATCAGCAGAGGATCTCGAAATAGTGGACTGCTTTTTAGAAGACCAAAAGACCAGAGATGAACCCAAAAACACACAGAAGCCAGTAGTTGAATGTCGGGTTGTAAGACATCCAGCCCAATCAGCATCAGAATATGTGACAATACGATCAAGGGAGCCAGCACGAAGATGAAGACCATAGAGTAAGATACCTTAATGTAGCGTAAAATACGCTTGACGGCCTGATAATGTTGCTCTCGAGGATCGTGCATATACTGACAGACAAGATTAACTGCATACTGTATGTCAGGGCGAGTGAAAGTGAGATATTGGAGGGCTCCCACCAAGCTCCGATAAAGAGGCGGATTATGAAAAGGGGGTGACTCATCAACAGAGAATTGAAAAGATGGAGCAAGTGGTGTGGCAACAGGGTTAGCATCAGTAAGTTGACTGCGCGATAATAACTCCTCAGCATACTTACGTTGATGTAAGAACCAACCAGTGGAATGTGGAGAGACGGAGACACCAAGGAAGTAGCTAATCGGACCAAGATCAGTCATAGCAAAAGCTGTCTTCATGGACTGAATAAGAGTGTTAAGAAGCCGATCACTCGAAGCTGTAAGGAGAATGTCATCAACATAATTGAGCAAGATAGCTATGTCAGAGCCGACAGAATAAACGAACATAGAGGAGTCTGAGCGACTAGATTTAAAACCCTTTGTAAACAAAAAAAGTGGTAAAACGGTGAAACCAAGCTCGAGGGGCCTGCTTTAAGCCATAGAGGGCTTTGTTCAATCGACAAACATAATGAGGATGGTTAGGATTAACAAAGCCAGTAGCCTGTTTCATGTAGACAATTTCATTAAGATGACCATGCAAAAATACATTTTTAACGTCCAATTGATGAACGGGCCATTTTCGTGAGACAGCAATACTTAAGACAATCCTGATTGTCACAGGTTTAACCACAGGACTAAACGTTTGATCATAGTCAAAGCCAAATTTCTGATTGTAACCCTGAGCAACCAAATGTGCTTTACATCGATCTAGAGAACCATCAGATTTTAGTTTCACTCAAAATATCCATTTGGAACCAATCACATTAGCAGAAGCAGTGGAGGGACTAGGTCCCATGTGTTATTTGAAAGAAGGGCATTGTATCATCACTTATGGCAGCATGCCATTCTGGGTGTTTGTGAGCTTCAGTAAAAGATTTTGGTTCAGGTGGAAGAGAAGGAGAAGATGTAGTGGCAGTGAGGCAAAGGATGGCTTTTGGTTTACGAGTCCCATCCCGAGTGCGAGTGGCCATAGGATGAGGTGGAGGGATTGTGGAAGGGGGTTGTGAAACAGGATTTTCGCAGGGAGAAGATGGTATGGTTGGAGGCACAAATGAAACTAAAGGTGGAGCTTAATTTGAAGAAGAAGTGACTAAATGTGGAAATGACCGAGGAATGAGAAACGAACCGAGGAATGAGAAACGAGGGATGTTTGAATGGGGAGATAAATTTTTGTAGAGGCTGAGTCGAAGATGAAAGTGTGGGATAGGGAAAGGAAGTTTCATCAAAGGTAACATGACGAGAGATATAGATTTTGCGAGAGACAGGATCATAGCACCGATGTCCCTTATAGGAATCCGGATAAGCTAGAAAGACACAGGGAATTGAACAAGGACTAAATTTGTGAGATGCTAAGTGAGATAGATTTGGAAAACAAGAGCAACCGAAAACCCGTAACATACCATAGTTAGGTTCACGACCAAATAAAAGATAGAAAGGAACAACATCGGTGGTAGATTTGGTAGGCAACCGATTTAAGAGGTAAACACTAGTGTTTAACCCAGAACTCATTTGGTAATTTGACTTGATGAAGAAGAGTACGGACCATATTAGGCACGATTTTATTCATACGTTCAGCCTTGCCATTTTGCTGAGGGGTATATGGACAAGAAATGCGCATTTGAATGCCTTTAGATTTTAGAAAAGTTTGAAGAAAATGAGAGCGAACATAATCCACAGCACCATCCGACTGAAGGCTTTGATAGAGACATTAAATTGATTTTGAACAAGAGTATAAAATTCAACAAATTTCTGAGGAACTTTGGATTTATTTTTAAGAGGATATACCTATAAATAGTGAGTAAAATCATCTAGGAATAACACAAAATATTTAAAACCACTAAAAGAAAGACAAGGAGAAGTCCATGCATCAGTGTGAATAATATCAAAAGCAGTAAAAGTAACAGAGGAAGATGGCCAAAAGGGAAGTTTATGATGCTTTCCAAGTTGACATGCTTGACATAGGTGAAGCTTATGTGAAGAAGCCATTGACCCAAGAAGGCTTCAAGTAGACACTAAACTTGACAGAACGGAAGGATTCGGGTGACCAAGACGTTGATGCCACACAGGAGAGGAAACAGGAGCAGCTAGCGCTGGACATGAGGATGGTGCAAGAGATGGATGAAGTAGGGTTGAGGGAAAGGAGTGAAGAGAGCCGGTACTATTGCAACGTAGACGAGGGGTTCTCGTCAAAAGATCCTTCATAGAAAAACCAAAGGGTTCAAACTCAATAGAGCATTGATTTTCAGTAGTAAATTGACGAACAGAGATAAAATTTTTCGTAATAGAGGGAACACAATAAACATGAGGAAATTTAAAAGAAGAGCAAGGAAGTTGTCCCACAGATTTAATTGGTAAAACATGACCATTCCCTATGACAATACTAGTAGAGTCAGTATAAGGTTTATAATTAGAAAAGATACCTTGATTAGGGATCATAGTATTACCACAAGCAGTATCCATGTACCAGGAACAGTCAACGGACGAAGGAGGAGGAGGCCGAGTGTGAGGATCGACAAAAAAAAAAAAGGCTGGCTGCTGGAACTGGAAACACTCGCGAGCCGAGTGATTTGGTTGATTACACAACTGGCAGCGAACCGTACTCGTCTGAAAGGAAGGAGCCGGACCGAGGAGAGATGGTGCACGGGTCCTGGGAGAGAACATTGGAGCTGGATAATTAGAAAAGGATGGATAAAATGAAGGAGGATACAGACCGAAATTCTGATTACGACCACAACCACGTCCGCGACCCGAAAATTCTGAAATCGGCCCCGACCACGACCACGGTTGTTGAAGAAGGGCTGAGCACCAGCTGGAGAGGGCGGCTGCGAGGAGTCAGGAGAGGGAGCAGCCACCAAAGCCGGCATTATAGTGGAAGGAGACAATGGTATCATCCTTCTTTCCTGGCCCAGATTTGGGTAAATAGAAGTAGAAGGCCCAAACGGGTAAGTAAATCAGACCCCGGATATAACCGCCGGGTCAGTAAAAGCCCGTCCTATAAGTCACACAGATCCGCGGATAAAACCCGCTCTGATACCATGAAAGAAATATTTTGACTGTGTTAAACATGTGTATACAGTATGGTGTATATAGACAATGATACAAAAACCCAAGCCGTCAACTATGACAACCCTAATTTGGTTTCCCTTAATTACATATTCTCTCACTTAGGTCTGCCAATCTTCGATTTTTTGAGGTCTTCACCATCTGAAACAACCATTCTAGCATTTTCATAGTCACCCAAATCAGAGCGAAGTCCAATCATTGCATCGTCCAATCATTGCATCCTCAATCAATTCATTTTCAGTAGCCGTCTTAACCGAAGCAGGAATTAAGCTATCTAGTAAAATAAAATCTTTTTTTTTTCTGAATTGGTGTCAGCATCTGAGGCCACAATCCCTTCTATTTCTTCTTCCTTTTCACTTCTATCCACGTTGAGCTTTTCCAGAGCCCGATCTTATCCAATTCGTCGAGGACTGCAAATCGTGAAGACAAATCAATTTGTGGAACGTAAACAACAAGCTGTTTACAAGGTTCTGCAAGGGTTTCCAAATGTTGCCTTTGCTCCTGTACATCTCAAGAAGAATCCGCTTTATTCCTTTCCTTACTATTCTCAAGAATTGTCGCCAATTTCTCTCTTGTAATCCGTCTTTTGCCTGATGACGGATTAGAGGGACTTTGATTCTCAATATCGATTGGGATCTCCTTCTTTTCTTCAGTGTCAAACCTGAGGAAGATGCCTTTGCAGCCTGTCTATTGAGACTTTCTTGTTCTTTATTAGCCTGTGGCTTTTGCTTCCAGTGGCCTTGATTCACAGGAATTTTAGCTTTCAATTTTTCGTTTATCTTTGGTGCTGATTTTGACACTTTCATTGACGGCGCCTTCGGTTTTCCGCAACGGCAGTTCTTTGCTCGTGTCCCACATTTTTACAATCTGCACAGTACTCTCATAGGTTTTCGTATGTGATATCTTGATAATACGAATACTCTTCTGTACCTAAAAGAATTCTTTGGGGCAGATCATGTAGAATGTTGATATCAACGCAAACCCTAGCAATCAAAGGGCGTGAGAGATTCAAGGTAGGGACATCGATCTTGAGGGGCGTTCCAACAATACTCGCCAATTTACTCAGATAATCTTCATTGAACCGATGTAATTGTAACCCTTGGAAAGCAATCCAGACCGGAACAATGGATGATTCATGCTCAGTATTGAATTGCGGAGTTTCGAGTGAGTAACTCCCTTTGAATCCAATTTTCTGAAATTGATGCTACAAGAAATCCATTTTCGGCCTTCCTTTAGAAAACTTCCCTACGAATGAGAGCTTGAAAGGTGCCGCTAGAGTTTCATCTTCTTCTTTCATCAGTAGGAAAGCCGGTTCACTTTTGAAAATAGATGGTTGAGATTTGATCGATGGGATTGCTGATTGTGGTTTCCTAGAGAGATTAATTATATTTCTTGGATTTGTCTTAGAGCTATTCAAGATTTGGGCAAAGGAAAAAGGTTTTTGCTCGTTTCCATCCTGTGGCCAGCTAGCCGTAATAGTGAAGATTAGGGCTTCGGACAAGATTCCTAGAGAGATGCAAGAGAAAAGGTTTTAGAGAGAGAAAAAACTTCACATATCAGGGTATAAATACAACTAAAGTTGTCTCTCTTATAAAAATGCATGATAGAAATCATCCAATATCTCCACACTGATATAGTGAGAAGAAATTCATATTGCAAGAATAATTTCACACGATAAAGGATACGATGCGATTTCTAATCCTCACCATTTTTCAAACTATTAAGGGCACGATTAATTCATCACTGAGTTTCAAGTTCTGTAACAATATTAATGATTGTCGAAAAGATAGAGATACCGGATGCAAGTTCTGTAACGATATTGATGATTTTCCAAAAGATAGGTATACCAACACCATGAAATGATTACCATAATAGACTTTGTTTCTGGAATATCATTATCCCTTTGATAAAATACATAAATCAAAAAGCACTGGGTCACAATTTATAGTTGTATATGGCGCTGAAATCATCTGACTGTGCTCCCGACTTAGCCAAGTAATATATAGACAAACTATTTCCGTTAATTTTCTACTAGCTACATATATCCATGGATGGGCACCACAGTTGTCGAACTGAATCACGCCGCCATTGGTGGGTTCTTAACACATTGTGGTTGGAGCTCAACAATGGAGGCGATTGGGCGCGGGATTCCAACTTTAGCATGGCCAATCCACGGTGATCAGTTCTATAATGCCAAGTGCATTGCGAGTCATCTCAGAATTTGGGAATTCAATATCGAAAAGGGAGGACCAACGTAGAAGAATTTTACGAAAAATGAGAAAATTCGAGAGATGGAAAGGCTAATGAGTGATAAAGGATTGCGTGGAAGAGCAAAAGAATTACTTAATGAAGCTTTCAACCATGGCTTTTCGGTTAGTTCTTTGGCTTCTTCTATTCACGCTTGTACGGGTTCTTATCTTTCAATTACTCCAATCATCATTTATATAATCTCGGACGCATGGTTGAATAGTTTTCTTTGGGAAAATAAAATGGTTTTCGACATTGCTACTTCCCAGTTCCCACGCCCTTCTTTCCTATTTATCTCCTATAATTGGACTTGGATGATAAAATATGATATCTTACTTCCAACGTTAGACGAGATTAACCCCTAGTTTGTCTTGTAACAACTAATTCCACATTATTATATGTTACTTTCAAAGTTAGAAAAATCTATTGGATCAATGTCAATGGTTTATGTTTCTAACCTAGTTTAAATTCTAGTAGTGTGTTAAGCTCTGGTCATGTTTCTAAACTTGTTACAATTTCTTTGTTGGGACAAAAAAATCCCACATCTGTGCCTCCGGGTGCCCCCGTCTGAAAGCCACGTGTCTCTTGCTTCCTGGTGGGTCAAAGCCAACTGTCCCGGAAGTTAACCAGCCTTAGAATTTTCTAAAATTGGGTTAGAGAACTAAGGTTTTATTTTATTTTTTTTGTTGTACTCCTTCATGTCGGTACTTTTGTTAGTCTATCTATAGTTAGTTACACTAAACAAATCCAATAAATACACCTAACATTGTAGTACATTTTGCATGCCTCTGAATCATGCAAAAAAATACACCTAACAGGTGTTATGATGCACATCAGTTTCCAATGAAGATCAATGACAAGCCCTCTTTTTTCCATAACTGTTCCGTGGTTCATTTTCCAAGTTGTTGCCTTCTTTTTCTTTCTGTTTTTTTTCTTTTCACGTTTTTTCATGCGTCATCAAAAGGCATTTTAGATGTTTATTATCCCAAAATATTATACTACTTTAATAATTAAAATAGATTTTGGTCATCTGATTTTCTTTTAGTATAAAATTAATTAAGTACTCCGATTAAAGTAATGACAAAATGTTTGACTACATGTCTACATTATACATTAATACACGTCGTCAATGTGACACTTGTTCATTCACGGACTATTGCATATTAATTATCTTAATTAAGACTAGATTCTTGATCGCACGGGTTTTCTTTAACGTTAACATTTTATTTATATCTAACTAATTTTAAAAAGAGAGTTAAAAAAAACAAAAAAGTGTAACAAATGTAACATGTTCTTTTATCGGTATCATTGTTAGTGGCATAATTTCATCGTACCATTCTTTTATCGTAGTACCGTTGTTACTACGTTTGAAACGCAAAACTATGTTTGGATGTATATTCCGACTTCTTAACAAACCTAAAACATGAATCACCTATGAACCACACGTTAAAGTTTCTGATTCATTAATATTGGATTGATGTTCGAGATTTCAAGCGCGTTAGGAACAACACTTGAATTACAAGTCTTTGATACGGTGTCCTCATGATTTGAGTATTGTTCTTATCAATCCCGGTTGTTGGAACCTCCACAGATGTCGTCATAGGCTCTATGATTTTGGTCATCCGATTTTTGATTCATTTTCCTCTACAAAATTAGTTAAAAACTTGTCCTATCGATGTCGAATGTTCCATTGTTTTTTCTAATCAATTTACTTTGTTCTTGTTCAAGAAAAATAAAACCGGACTAAACTTTGAATAGTAAAATTTTTGGTATAAAACTTAATTTAGGATAAAAGGTGTATTTATTTTTATTAAATCCAGACTAATAACACATTCTTCCGCACATGAATCGCAATTAAAACTAAATTCTGAAACACCATATAGATTTTTTATAACTCATGATTTTATCATTGAAAATTCGAGTAGGATTTGATATATAAGATTCTATCCGGAGGACTAAATCAAATCATAGCACATACTTATAGAATTCAAGTGTCAAAATTGCCAAAAGTCTCCATGAAGGTTTTTGATCCGTGGCTAGAATTTATTGAAATTTTAAGTCGGAAATTAGGAGCTGAGTTGAGGTGGGGCCTTTACCAAAATCACCAGAGAAGTTTCTGAACCTGAAGAACCGAACAAAAATTACTTAAGAAAAAAACAATATTAATTAGACATCACATATTCTCACTGTAAAAAATCATGAAAAGAATGGAAAGGGAGCAAATTAGTTTTGCATTCCTGAAGGTCTTTCCTTCTCTAACTCTAGGTTGGTGTGTTCATTAGTTTCTAAGGTGAGAACTGAATTGGGTTGCTTTTCGCAAATACAGAAATTACAGAAATTTCTTGCTTTCGAGTCATCTAATTTCCTTGTAAATTACTACTTCCCTCCGTCGCTCAAAAAATAGTCCACATTTAGTTTTCAAATTTGTATTAAAAAAAGTACAAAACTCAACATTCAATGTAGACTATTTTTATGAGACACGTGGAGCATTTTCTACTGTGGTAACTGGAAAGTTTTGAAGATTGTGGCGGGTGATAATGCGCTTAGTTTTTAATACAAATTAAAATTGTTTACAGATTTCAAGTGTTCATTATGTTTGTTTGATACATTACATGCATCTTTGCTGATATGATGGTTAGTTGTAACTAAGCATCAAATGTCATGGTAAAATTCCAGTGTCACCAGTTTTAAGCCCACTGATATTCAGAAGAAATTTATAGATGACTTGGTGAGAGAATTGAGATTTATGGTCAACTTTTAATACTTGATGATTGGGACTTTTGTGAGCCGCCCAACCCCCACCCACCCCCCCTTTTTTCCTGAGATTGAAGACACAAAAAAATGATAATAATAAATAAATAAAAATGGATCACAGCTCTTCAACGTTTCTATATTTTTATATTTACAATTCCCAGTCACAAAAATGGGGTAAACTAATTGCCAATCCTTCTATTTTTGGCTTCAGGTTTATTATTTGGAGGTTTTTTGGAATTGTAAAAATCTCCAAAGAATTCTCAGAACTGCAAGAAAAAATTCAGAACAAAATTAAGTGTAACAGGAATCAAGACATGAAAATCTATGTTGGTCGGAACAGAGCAAATCATCCCCAAATAGATACAGAATCCTCTCAACAGCCCAACTGGGCTGCTGATTCGCCGCCGCCGCCGTGGATGACGATGAAGAAGAATCAGAACAAGACTCTGTTCCCAACGTGGTGATCAACGAAGTTCTACAAAGAGGGCAGGACAAACGAGCATCATAAAGCAGCCATCTGTTCAGGCAATCCTCGTGGAAGACATGGCTGCAATTGCTGAGCTCCCACACTTGATTTTTCTTCTTGAAGCGCTTCAAACACACAGCGCAGGACATATCATGGTTCTCTTCTTCTTGATCATGGTCTGGGATCCGCCTTTTCGCGATTTCTTCAAAACTCGTCAAGCTCAGATGTTCTTTCACCATTGATAACACAGATGAAGAACCTGAACAGGGCTGCGGCGAAATCGTTGTGGGTTCTGGGAATAATTCCAGGGACCATGAGAAGATGCACATGTAGTGTTTGACTAATTTCTGAGCCCAGGAAAAGATGCATCTTGTCACCCCAAAAATCAATGCTGCTTTGCACAGAATCAGATGATCACTGCTGCCGGAATCACAGAATCCCATTTTAGCTTGACTGATAAATTTGCAGAATTCTTAACAAAATTGTTGTTAATGAAGAAGGAAGAAAGGGAGGAGGGGGGAATTATGGAGAGAGTTGAAGTGGTATTTATGGAAGGTGGTTTTTGGTGGGTGGGTGCAGGGATGACGTTGTTTTTTGGTGGACGGTGGGTGGAATTTAGCAGTCAGTGCTGTCTCATAATCCAGTTGGATAACCATTTTTACACATCAGAATCTATGACGGCAGATTTTGCTTTTTCAAAAGCTAATCTTTGCTGATGATAGCAAACTAGCTAAGACCCCCCACCCTCCTAAAAAGAAAGATAGGTGTGCTTATCTTCTTATATTGTATTCCTTTCTATTGCCAACCAAAAAAAAAAGCATCTTTGAAGAAGGATTTAGATAGACAAGTAAAAAAAAAAAGATATGATGACGCTTCCTCCCTATTGCCAATGGATGCAATGACTCAAATAATCTTGTTTAATAGTTTACACTTTACATTATTCGCAGTGACAATACCACGTAATAATTTCACTAATATTTACTCCGTTCAGAAATTATTGTCAAGTTTGAATTTTCATTATTAGAACAAATTGAATTAAAAATAAAAATTAAATAACAGAAAGTGGAAAACAGATATTCCGTCTATGCGGTTGCATCTCTTTTCATCAGGCTAGGATTTCAACAGCGGCATCTTTTTTTTTCCTTCTTTCTTTATGTTTGCTTATCCAAGTTGGTTTCTTGATTAGGTTGGAGGGAAATGCTTACGATTCAAAAAGAAGATATTGACATCTTTTTCTAAGGCAAATAATCAGCTTTGGTGACACAAGCAAAAAAAAAAAAAAAAAAGCTGTCCAACCAAAAGTAGTACTTCTGTAAACCAACTTCTACGATTCTGGTTCTACCACACTTTATATCATATATCATCAACTGATTAATAAATCAACGTCGTTTGGGTTGAAACAGAAGGATTCACTGTTTGGAATCCTTATGAATTTTCCACTTTGAGCGGACCCTTCCTGGTCTTTACAAACAAAAATGCTACACTTTGGAAAAGTACGAGTGAAGATAGCGCCCTAAAGCTGATAAATCACATGGGTCAGGAATGGAAATCGATCAAAGATTTATTTATTTATTTATTTATTTTAAAAGAAAGAGGAAGTAAAACAAAGAAAAGAAAAAGTAAGAGCTTATCAATGATTGTTCATCTTTCAACTGGTTATTGATTGTCAAAAACTGCTACTAAAGTTAGTAGCATTTTTATTAATCTAATGGTGGAGAAAGTTGTAATTTAGGAGAGAAATCAAGTGCCAACAATGTTTCATTTAAATGGTTGTTCAAGGATGTAAAAATATTAGTGAACCAAAAGAATCGAGGCTGATGAGAGTCCCTCACTTTTTCTTTTTATTTAAAAAATAAAAAAATAAAATTAAAACTTCAACTATTTCTTTGTGATTCGTCTAACAAAGCCTGTGTAAATTGTCCAATGATTTAACCCCAGCTGTCTAAGTGATTTCTCTAACATTGAAGTGATTAAACATTCCCAGTTCCCACCATAGGCATCCCAATTAACCAGCGATTTTCCCCCCTTGTTTTTGGTGAATTTCTCAGTTCCATGTACATTTGTACCGGAAGTCTGGAACTGATGCATTGTCCTTCTGAAGGATAATGCTTTTCGCTGAAAATATTCTTCACTAACTTTAGATAAAATATAATAGAGCGACCCTTTTGAGAGCAGAATCATCATTAAGTTTAGATATCGTAAAATCATTGAAATCGTGTCAGGATTCTGACCATAATCAATACTAATTGCTTGCTTTCCACATCCTCTCGAACTCCTGATTTTCTCACATTTTATCTGTCAGATGGTGATAGCAGAAGGATTACATTGCATCATGACGTTTTTCTACAAGAAAGATCAAATTATCAGAAACCAGATGGAATTTTCAAAAGTTCCATGAGGAGGACGGACCTTATTGAACAGTATTATTTTGAGTATTACAAACGAAATAAACCATAAACCACATTGCGGGGAAGGAAGATATTATCTACATTCGAAAACATTTCTTTGACAGAAAAATATCTCTTAGAGGTGATTACCCCGCTGTCCAAATCCCTCGATCTATCTCTGGCTCTCTTCAATCTTCATTTTCATCTTGTACTGCAAAGTCGCAGGGGCACAATCTAGCGGTGTTTCACCTGAACAAAATAAATGGTAAATTTCATTGATGTAGCTATGATACAGAACAGCACCGTCAGAATCTCAAGACCAGGATCCTCTTTCGCATGAATGATACTTTGTTTGTGTTTCGATTTTGTAATTGAAAACGTAAATGATTATATGTTAAAAATGTCAAAAAGTGTATTAGAATTGTCATGACCAATTTACCTTGTGAATTCTTGAAGTGCACATTTGCTCCATGGTCCATCAAGGCAAAAGCAATATCCGTTTTATTAAAAACTGCAGCCTGCAAAAACTCAGTAGTTGAATATCATTCAGTATATTTCAGTCAGCGCAATTCAGAGGACAACAAGAGGGATATAGAGAGAGTACCAGATGTAAAAGGGACAATCCTTGCTTGTCACAGAAATTAGCATCCACCCCCTAACAATTAAACACCGCCTCAGTCCTGTACAAATTCTAAAATAACCAATCTCTGACTACAATAAATAATGAACTGTGCGGAGAACCAAAGATACCTGGTTCAGAAGCTTCTTGACAGCAGCAGTATCACCATTTTTTATCGCCTCTCTCATACCCTGAGATTTTAATCTTATAGCATATTAATAATAGAGTCAACTAGGCAAAGTGAAGACGTAGACTTAATGCACCCGTCTCATCCCCAAGCAAAGAGACAGAAAGAAAGAGCCACTATACCTCTCCACTGGCTTCATAATCCATTTCCAAATTGTCATTAGTGGCTTGACCCGAATTGAAAACTGTCCTGCAAATTTTTCAAAGTATGCATAAACAGTAATTGTAGAGCAACACTCAAGTTATCAGTAAAACCCATAAAAAAGAACAGAAACAGCAAATATCACAACTCTAGATTTAATGTTAATCAGTCTTGGAACAACTGGGACAACTGCTACAGGCATACATTTGAATATATTTATGATTGGAGAATCAGCAAGACAGCATTTACGTCAAAACTATCTTAAGTTTACATGCACCATTTACTTTGTCAGCCGTAGTATGTACTTGTATGCTACAAATGTAGATAACCAACATAAAGAGCTTTTATTCCAACCCTATGGTCCCTATCAGCAACCTTTTAACACGATTAGTTCTACAAGAAGCTTAACAAATGATTAGAGGAAAATCTGAGCTTGAAAAGCAAGTGGCTTTGAAGAAAACAATCAGCGGGATGAGATATTCAAAAAGACCCTGTTTTTAATAAAAAGAACGGGAAGAGATACACATCGAACTTTAGGCCAATGTAAATACTTGTCAAACTGGAAGAGGGATACACAGAAAATGACATGCAATACATTTGCAGATAAGATAAGGTACTCAAAGAAAGAGAAATGACCATCATAAAGGTAGAGCCAGCACAAAAAGTCTTCCAATGACTTGTACCAGGGGAAGGAAGATAATGAGGATGATTGAAACTCAGGATAATTTGCCAACAAAATGTTTTTTCGAGATCCAGAAGACAAATCTGACTGAATTTCTAAATTCACCACACAATCTGAACACATTTAGAAACAAAATTATCATACCCAGGCTTGCTGTTTGATGTGGACCCTCTACTTCGTGGTGTTTCCACTTTTTTTGGTTTGGGATTAGAACGAACCATGACAGTAGCGGCACTTTTTGTCATCTGAGATTCAAGAAGAACCGTAAGTTTCAATAGAACAACTTGTGGCAGTGCGTTTTGCCACCTTAGTCGAAATGAGAGCTTATCAAAGTTAAATCAAATTGTCAAAGCAGCAGCAAAATTAACTTGAGGGAACAAAAGATAAGGATCTTGCCAATGAGTTAACATTATCCTTTGGTGCAGCCGGTGCTTCACAGATACATAAAGGCATTCCACACTTGCATTCTGGAATAACTCGGACAGAGGTAGCCTTTACAGGTTCTTCAATCTTATTCCCAATATCTGAATTGATATCAAGTCGTGAAATCGAATCTGTGACAATGCTGCTCCCATTTGAAACAGCGGGTGCATCATCTTTGCTCAATCTTTCCATAGTACAAAATGCACATATAAGCATGTTGAACAGTTCCATTTTAAATACTTAACATTGAAATTAAATGCAAGAAGGCTACTGAACATTGCACTAAGAATCAAGGAAGAAATGCCTAATATGAGGAGAATGATTTTAAGTCTACTAAGACTACTAAGAAAGATGCCCAGATGTTAAGCTAGCACAGAGTCTACATGGAATTCTCAAAGCAGATTTTGCCACTCTGAAAAGTAAGAGAATTTTCCTACCTAATCTAAACATCCTGACCCAATAAATTAAAGCCAACCCAATTGCTGTACATGTCAAGATTGCAACCAACCAATCTCATGTCAGACATGTAGAAAAGAAGTCTCAAGAGATTAAAAGTTATCAAAATCTGCCCTATCGTATAGATCAATTTTCTTCCTCTGGGAGGGGAATTATCACTGGTTATCCTCTTTATTCCCAAGAATCGCAAAACCCAGCAGGATCAGGTCCTAGAGGTGGAGTGAGGCAGGAAACCTCCAAACTCAGGTACCTCCCATTAAATCAGGAAAATAGAGAAAGAACAAGGGAAGCCTTGGTTTTCCAAACGTTAAAACAAAGGGAAGCTAATGTAAACTTCATAGAATTACTTAAAAACACCAAAAAGCCATGACATTGCATAAACAAATTTCTTTTTTTTTTTTGTTTCCCATGGATATAAGTAAAAAACATAAGAACAATGTAAGATTTTGGTCCCCATGGATAAAAAAGATCAAATTGATAGAGGATATGTCCCTGGAAATGACCAAAGTGGGGCCACAGGTGTATTTACCTAGAAGAATTGTTAAAGCAATCTGCACAAACTCTGACAGGAGTGTAGAGACCAAACTGAGGTAATGCCTGAAAATAGCCAATTGAAAGAATAAACAAATAGTCAAGAAGCAACTGGCATGTATATGTTGAAGGGATAGTTTGAAGAATCAGAAAATGCAAATCATAGAAAATTACCATTTGATTTGAAGAGTGCTCAGCACACAATGTTCGACCACAACATCTGCAGTGATGCTGCAAGGACACAGGACAGTGTATGTCAAGAAGGTATGCTTTGATGGGGGTCGCGAAATGCACCGTTACCATCTCAAAATTAAATCAGATCCACAGCACCATGAGCCGATGATGACATGAATGGACATATATCAAACAATCCCAGAGTTATATTCTATTCCAAAGCCGCCCAAACACAAAAAGGGCTGGAATTGTTTGCGTTTACTACAAAGATCCATGCATGTACAGTAAATTTAAATTCATTCAGAACTTCCAAAACGAAATGTCAGTTAATGTTTTAGACAATTTATGATGTTTTACCGCATTAAGAAATAGCACTTGTTCATGAAGATATTAATTCGTGAATAGGTTCCAAAACCTCCCTCACTACATAATGAAGAAAATTGATATTCTAACTGAATCAGATGGACAATGATCAGAACAAATATCGATAAATTGATCTTTAGTATCATCCACTTACACAACCACTTCTTCTGCTCCCCCAACAACTATTAATTGTTCAATAAGCCCGGAATCACGGTGAAAAAGAGTTCCAGCTAAAATATATATAAGAGCCTAACAGTGATCCCGTTTATTAACTTCAAAAAATTACAACCTGGAATTACAAAGAACGAAAAGAAGAAGAAAGTGCAATTCAAAAGATTCGAAACAATCACGAAGCCAAAAGAAGTGATCCGATCAAAAAAACAATTTGCAGAGCTAGCACAGAGAGGGAGGGAGTACCCGTCGGCGAAATGTGGTGAAGCTGCAATAGCAAACGTCACACCGCGACGATTCCTGAAACGGCGGGGGTTCCATCCCGGCGTCGATTCCAAAAGGATTTTGTTTCCTGGGAGAATCGTCACGCGCTCAGGGGCCGAGTGTTGGTAAATTCTGTGAAGAGAAAAAAGAGCAAAAGCAAGCAACGATCCAAAAGACATTATGCAAAATGGTCAAAACAGAATAGTCAACTCAAATAATTTTTACAGTGGTAAAATTATCATTTTTTTTTTGGTTTTTTAACTTTTATATTTTTTTACTATAGAAGAAGAAAACCGGAAAAGAGAAAGAAGTTCTTTTTTTTAACTTTGATATCTTTCTTTTTTGAATGATGTATCCAGATTGGAACCGAATAAACCATGTTCCAATATCAAAATATGATTGTTTTTAGGTCTTCTTCTTTCAGCCTTTCAGGTCTAAAAGTGTCCAATTAACAAATTCGATTTGTTTCCTCACTCACTCATATGGTTCAAGTGATCACTCGTTGACCTTTTTACATCCCCCCGGGGTTAACCTTTTACATTTTAAGGATTAATTTCAATTTATAAAGGAAAAATAACTGACCAACAACATTTTTGGTTTTGATTCAAGAATTCACAAAGATGGTGCCACAAGTCCGCCATCTATGCTATCATCGCTCCGCAATGCACGCGTTCATTTGAAAGCAAAATAGGACAATGCACAAGCCGTAGAATGGGAGTGGAATAGATTCCAAGCCCTTTCGTCGGAAAAAAAAAAACAAAGATCATCATTTGGTATTAATTGGATGCAAAAAAAGACTAATAACACCAAAATTACATCCAAGTTTTTTTTTTTTTTAAACAGATATCTATCTATGACGCATGCTCCCGGGATATACCCCCTCCCCCCTTTGCAATCCTGCTCGAAAAAGAACTTGTAAAAGCTACATATGAGAACAATGATGAATAACTTATCTATATGATTAATAACTCTTCTAATTACAGGACCAAAATTCTGAGTTAGCGTTTTGAAACATCGTCTCATAAATGATTAGGATGATACCGTCACACATGATAAGTGTTCTGAACCACTCATTGAACAGGATCCACAGCTTTCGGCAGTAAAGGTGTTAACTGCGTGCTGCAAAGATCTGCCAGGGCTCCACGTACATCCATCTGAGACGGAAAAAGAACATGGTGAGAGGTTTACGTCAGAATTAATCAAAAGTTGAACTCCGAACTTCTATAAAATGTACTTAGTACTACTGTTCAAACCAGTCATATAAGGTCAGTCATATTTTTCTCAACCAAAACAGCCTTTACAGTTTCAGTTAGTGCCAAAGAAGGGTGATTGGAGGAGATAATAGAAGCGTCATCCCCCACCCACCCAAGAACAAGACCACAGACCAAATTAACTTTGTATAAACATCCTTACATCCCCTGTCATTCTGTGGCTCCAACCAAAAAGAAATAGTTCAAATGCCACGACTAATGAGATCAATTTACTTGAGTTCACAAACATCCCATCGAAAGTGATAATTAAATAAAATCCCATAAATAGAACAGACACAGAAATGGTCTTAGAGCTAACAAGTGCATTGAATCACAATAGTTTGAAGGACCATAAAAATACCTGGTCACAGCACACAAGTTTGGTTATCAAAGGATAGAACTCCCGAAGGTTACTTCTGAATACCTTGCTGTTCATACAGCACATGCCATTAAGCACCTGGAAGACATAAGCAGGTTCAGATATTCCTAAACCATTCATGTTTCAGAGAAATAAAGTGGCTTAAAGCTATTATGACTTAAAGAAACAGCCTCCATTCAGCAGGAGCTACCACTAAGTTATAAATGATCCAAAAGCCAGATAATGCTCTTGCAATTATATGATGGAAAAACTGCTCTTCTTCAATGTGGGCTCTTAAGAACTTTAATTTACACTAAAGAAAGACACAGAATTGTAGACCACTAATAGTAGTACACGTGGTAGAGGGAACCTCCCACCTCCCTATGGGAGGAAATGGAAATAAAACATGAACCCTCTGATTTAAATTATTTGAAAAAGGAAAAAAGAAAGAAAAGAAACGCCAAATGAAAAAACCGAGCCGAGCATACAACCCCACTGCACATTATGTACCTTAACAACAACCGGGGAGCGAAGTTCCAGAACTCGGTGAATATCCATGTCAGCAGCCTCCCCCATGTTCGATTGGAAATCAGATGCCTCACTCAGCACTTGCCGGCAAAAGGAGACAAACTTCTCTTCAGCGACTGCTTGAAGTTTGTCGTCTTTAATGTGTTCTGCTGAAGCGGTAACACTTGCTGCGCCATTCCCATTAACACTTGCTTCGTGCACTTTCTCTTGTTCCAGTTCAAGGATTGAAGTTGTCTTCTGCAAGATATCTAAATATATACGTGTTCCAGCTAACTCTTGACGAAGAAGATTCAGAGGTGGCCTGCCCAATAACAAATTTAATCATGGTAAAGTTGTCAAAAAGCTGCAACAAATGTTTAAGCAAAAACATATGAAGGTGACGAAGTCACAGCAAAGTCTGTAGCCAACCTTTCAGCAGGAATCTGTTGCATCCTCAATCTGAGGTTTGTGTACGAATTATACGAAGCAGCAAACTCCAGCGTGGAGAATAAAATGTCCATTATAGCGATTTTCTGTGAAGCCTTCAATTTATTCCAGTATTTTTTCTGCAGATTACAAATGAGGGTGAAAGCTGTTATACATCATATCTTGTGAAAATTTAGAGATTATAAAAACACTCATTCGACATGGACTATATGTCCATTTGACTTTATTTTTTACTTTGTTATTTACTTGATTCTTGGTTTGACATGCCTAACATTTTCTTAAAAGAAACTGGAAGATTTTAAAATATATATAACTATAGAGACTAGTCGTGGATCACAGTACATTTAGAGATTAGCGTGGATTACAATACATATTAGGCGAGTTCAATAAAATATTAGGAACATTTCAAGCTATACAACCAAGGTATTAATGCTAAGACAAAGCCAAAAGTGTGATAAATTGAGGACTTGCTCAATACCTGAATGCTATCAATGGCACCTAAAAGTAACAACTGTGTAATGCATTTACTTCTGATGGTTCCCAAAACTGAACTTTCCTCCTCGTCTTTTGCATCAACTTCCATAGTCTCTGACAACTAGTCATCAAGGACAGAAAGGTTGTTAAGAACAGAAAAACAAGACATAAGGTTAAATAATTCAAATATACCAAGGGAGCATTGCAAACAGAGAAGCCAATCGTCAGCAAGCAAAGAATTAAAGCAATATACGAGAATAACAAAAAGACACCAGCAATACAAGAAAACTACAGTACACCTCTGAACATGAATGATCAAGTTATTCAACCCAACAATACCAAGGAGATGGAAAGAAAAAACAAGTTACGTGTTGGTGCTAAATACCTTGGCTGGAGAAGAGGGCACCAAAGTATCTGTTGTTGGATTCTTAGGTTTCGAGGTAAAACTTCTAACTAACAGATTGTCCATCATGTTTCCCATAATTTTTTGACCAAATGTTTGACTGCGCTGAAGACCTCCAGCATCGGTGGGTATCTGACCTCTTACAGAAGGAGATGAAGCACCTGTAAACAATGATAACTTTTTTCTAAAGAAGCTTTTGCATGATTTCTTTCTTTCAGGAAGGATATTAAAAAGTTTGCAATCACTACACCGATAGTTCTATTATTCAATTATTATAAACCAGAAAATAATAAAAGGAAACAGTATGTTGACAGTAGATTAAACAGATAACCTTCAGATCCCTCAATATCATGGCCAGAATTTGTTGTCGCCAGAGGATATATATTTTCACCATCACTACCATTACACTGATGATTATCAAACATTCCAGGTGTAGGAGAGGCAGGTACATCCCCAGAAACACCATCTAAGTTTCTTGTCGATACCATCTGATGTCTAGAGTTCTCCAAACCCAAATCATTGAGCAGCTCAAGGGGTTGGGTTGTGTATGTTGCATCTCTATTCCACATCAAACAAGAACGTTACAATCAATCAAAAGAAAATTTACACATAATAATTTAACTCTTCTTGAGAAGTCACCTTATGCTTTTCAACAAGGTATCCCAATCAGGCTCACTGAACTGGTGCCCACCAACTTCAATCAGATGTACCAGCGCACCCAGAGAAATTGAAGCCACAGATTGATCTGTTTTCTTGGCACAATCCAAAAGCAAGCTTAACAGTGGAGGCAACATAAAGCACACATCCTGCACAAAAAAAAAAAAATGATCAATGGCCACAAAATATTTACTTAACATGAAAATCTGCAATTTATGATTTAAGGGACAGGTTTGAAGATGATCATTCAATATTAAAACTACCAAGCAGCAGACAAATAAATTAAAGCCCCCAGATACCAATGGCTAGACACAGAAAGCACCACTACAAGTAATGTGTTTCCTTGATTTTGCTTACGCGCACAGATGTATATGAGGATAAAGGAATACTTGGTTTTGTGAAAAGAAAGCATTACAGCAAGAGTCATTTTATAACCCAACCTATGAATGACAGGAATCATTTTGGTCTGATAGCAGTATATTGCGTGGAACAAAATTACAGTCTAAAGAAATAATACTCAAGTAAGAATGCAGTACCTTGTAGAAAGTATTGAAAAGATTGCACAACAACTGGAGTGAATGAATGCTACTTTCACGGAACCATTCATCTCCAGTAGAAATGAAATTTTCGTTGCCTACTTGTCTGACATGATCAAAAATGGGAAACAGGACCCGATGGAAGATATTCTCCCAAAATGAGGATGAGAACTTGCTGCCTCTCTCATTCAGCAAATCAAACAAAACCTCAAGTGCACAGTTCCTGACCTCAGGTCTTGGATCAGAAGTGAGATCAGAAAGACCAGCCAACATGGGGAACCAATAATGCTCAGTCACATCATAAGTTGTCTCGGCGTTGGCATCAATGGGCTTTAAGGCACCACCGGGTATTAGACCCTGGAGGTTAATCCAGAAAAGAAAACAATGCAATCAGCATTTGTGCCATTAGCAATTACAATGTCAAAGAATCATATGTACATCAATTTATCACATTCTACAAGTTTCACATCCATCAAGATTTTAATAAGTAATCTACAGAATGAAGTTTCACCATTCATGAAACAGCAGAAGTAGCTCAAAGAAATAAAATAAAATAATAAAATCTTCTTTCTAAGGTTTCCGCACTAAGAATCACCATATATACTTGTGGATAGGTTTATAGGGAATTGGCTATTTTTTGTGGGGGTAACTGGCTGGCAACTCTTAGGCCAAGTGGCCATGTATAACATGAAGTTCTTTGGCTGTTCATATTGATTGATTTCCTTCATATGGAAAGAAAAAAAATAGCAGAAAAAAGGTACCAAGTCAAAATCTGTGAAACAGAAAGTGTACCATAGATATCTTAGCACAACTTAAGTCAACCAATTCCTCGGTAAAGGCAATAACATAACCCACGCCAACCTAAAGTATTCTCCTCTAAGAAAGACAATCAGCAAAAACCATCATTTCCATGATATGAAATCTACAAATATGATAGTTCTATATTTCAATAGAGCATGGTTGCGACAAATTATCCATATAGCCAACCTCAAATAAGGGGATAAAGGCTAAGTTGTAGTTACTCCAGTACAGTTATTAAACGTTCTTGAAAATACAATAACGCTTCATAAGAAAGTTTATTCTTTTAAAAGAAAAAGGTAACTGGACCTCAGCCTCTCAGCATGCTAAACCAAAAAACGTGTAGTTTCAGTTTCCTAAGAGACATAAACATCACAAAAGTAACATTCAACAGAAATGGCTAAGAGTCAGCATCCATGATAAGAGAAACAGTACCAAAATCTTTCGACCTCACACAAATTTCATCAACCCCAAGTGAGTTCTACCTAATCTTATATTCTTGCACCTACAATTCAGCCAAAATATCCATACAAACTGATTACGATTCCCATTTCACACTCCATAAATTTTTATTCAGCTCATTTGAGATGACATCCATATAAATCTGTATAAATCCTGACCATTCAAACTTACACAAATCTCGAAAAATTCCATAGTTCTATTCTAGACTCCACTGATGCAGTTTACTTCTTTTTCATAGAATAACTTGCTGGTTGTTGTAATTTACGTAAGGAAAAGTTTTACACCAACCCAAAAGTATAGGTCATGAGTTCACTACTTGCAACACTATTCTTTATTCCCATAATGCTCTTTATTTTACATGAAATAAGTTGCACACAATGCTTCATAGACTTACTTTCACTTTTTGGAAGAAAAAATAATTGCATTTTCTTCGACAATGGGATTATGTTAGCTAGACGCACAACTACAAGAAGCCAGCAAGAGACCCAGAAACATAAATACTAGAATATTCAGCAATAATAAAACTAACAGGTACAAACCTCTGCAAGACGGTCCTCACATATGCGAAGAAGGGCAATAGCTTTCAAACTTATACGGTGAGAAGTTTTATTGTTAGCAAACCCAATAAGGCAGTTGACACAATCCATAAAGCAATCACCAACAACCTGATCGAAGTGCTCCAGGATAACTGTGTACATTTGGTGTTAGAAATCAAATTTATAATAGAAAAAAGAAAAACTTAACATTCATTATTTGACAAACCATAGAAGGGGGTATGTTCCAACCTTGTTCTACATTCTCAAATGCACTTTCAACAATTAGCTCCATGTCATCATCCGCAGCAGCTGTGAAAATCATAAACACACTTCGCCAACCAGACTTTATGCTTCCCACTTTAGACTTGATCATCTGCTTGGCACCATCAAAATAAGTTGGTTTCTGACATAAATAAAGAAATTATCAAACATCAAGCACAAACATACTTGAACAATACAGTCCACGATAAGCCGTCTTATGGTGTCACTTCTGTTGTTCCGGATGAGTATTACAAATGGTTTCAAGATATCATTCTGAAATGTGAAATTGGCCAGTTCAGCTCGCTCCAAATACTTCATACCGAGTTGACGTAGTGAATCTATCGCATACATGGCAACTCTTTCATCTGGATGGCTTCCAGCATATATAAAATGACTGGCCAAGACAGACCATATTCTGGCCCACACCTAAAAATGGATTCCAATGCATCAGTGAGCTGCTATCAATTCTTAAAACACCATACATATAACAAATTCCACAAATTCTAGATTTATTTTCACCGAACAATCAGGCATAAAATCCTTCCTTAAAATACACCAAAAAATCAGATAAAAGTCCAAAAGATCATCACAAGCACAGAAGACAAAAGACTTGTCCCGAGAAGTTATGAACAACAATACAAACAGATTTTCAACATTGAACATGAGATTGGCTGTTATCATAGCTCTGCTGTCAGAGCAAAGGTCAAAGGCATAAGTGCCAATGCAAAAATAAACAGACAGACAAAACCCCTTTCACACTTTATAGTAAGAAACTGATCTTACTTTTAGTTGTCCTAGATAGCAGAATCACATTGATTGAAGAAAATGCGTATTTCAGAGATATTCAAGGAACTTTGATAAGACAACCAAAATCGTCACCCTACTACATTGAAAAATATACACTTCATGGTGAGTACATGAACAAGGACATCAAGGGAAGGGCCAGAATGGACTATGACAAGAAGAGGATGATTAAATAGATAGAGTTTTCATTCTGCAGATACATACAAATGATCAATGGACAATATGCAATGAAACAAGACATTAAAGCATTGTCATGCATATCTGGTAAAAATTTGAATGTGACAACAATTGAAATAAAACTGTCCTCTCAGCAACATATACTATCTGAAGCTAAAATGGCTTGTACTTGAAAAGGAGAATTCCCAAAAAGTATTAATTACTTAATAACATACACACAAATGCTGAAATAGATTAACTATATATTATGTTTGAAATAACAAGCTCCTTATCGACTTTCAGATAAAAACTGTTACACGAATATCGTCTTGAATATAGCCTGAGAAAATTGAAGGAAAAAAGGGCAATAATTTTTTTAAAACAATACGCCTGAGTAAATATCAAAGCATTAGCTCATCTCTAGGTAAAGGGGATAAACATGACAAACTTAAGCAAAAAAATGACTTACCATTCTTATACGAGCCATATTATAATAGCTTATCTCAACAAGCTTCTGCAAGCTAAAAACACGTGCTGGAACTTGTCGAAGTTCCTCAGCTGAAACGCTACAAAGACCTGTAAAAAATTCTACCACAGATTCACTGGGCAACTTCACACTATTCACAAATACTTGTTCTACTGGTTTTCCTGCCAACTCCCGCAGAGACTGCAAAATAGCATCCCTAGAAATCTGGTTTGATCCTTGCATGACAGTTGCAGCAGCAGTGGGATTTGATGTTAGGTAATCAAGCCGAGAGATACATTCCAAGACAGCAAGCCAGGACTCCTGAAGGGCATTAATATCAGAATCCGATAAAGCAATTAGAGTCCGCAATGCTTCAACATTTTTACTTCTCATTTCCTTTGGCGCATGTAGGAAGTTGAATCTGCAACATGATAAGAACCAAGAATCACATAAAGATAAGTCACCAAATTATCTTGCAAGGGATGCAAGATGGCCAGGAAGGAGGGCAAAAAGAAAAGAGAGCAGCGACTACTCAGTTAGATGTAGAAGCAAGAAACAAGTGTACTAAATGAGAATGATAGAAAGGAAGAACAATAAGAGGGCCCAAAAAAGAAAAACAAAAACAAACAAACAATAACAAAAATTTACCGGATCAAAGATGTTAAAAATGCATATCGCATTGTATCCATTCCAAGAACATGAGTAATGTGTATTCCCGCTTTAAATCCTTCCATACAAAGAACAACCCTTGGTTTATTATCACCTTCCTCCATTGTGACAGCAAATGTGGCAAGCAATGGCCATCCAACAGCTTCCACCATAGGGCGCACAAGTTCAATCTGATGTGAAGTGTAAAAAACTCCTCTTTTCCTTCCTTGGCTCCTGACAAAGGCTTGTGTTTGTTTGACAATTGCTTCGCTTTCAGACTGCGAATCTGTTGAAGATTTCCTCTTGGGTAGAGCCAGGTTTAGAATGCTAACAAGCCCACCTCTTTCCTCTCCTGGCTTTTGCTTGCCACTTTTTGCAAGACCAGCAGACTCATCTTTCATTTTGATTTCTTCTTTAACAATCGAATCATAAATTTCTTCTAAGAGATCAGTGGGGGCTGACTCTTCGGCATCATGTAAAGCATTCATCCGTAGAAAATCACTCTTAGACATCTTTGGCCAAACCATTGGATTATGAGCATCCGTATTCAACATTATGACAGCATAGGCAAGGACATAAGCAGTGTCTGCATTTTTGAACAGACCAGGATTATCCGTGCAATAGCTGCAGACAGAAAATAGATGTCAGGCTCACAATTCTTGCAAGGTGGTAGTATGCGTTTGATTCTAAAGGAGAAATTCTTTCAACACAGAACATTCAATTTACAGCATGCCAAGATATGACACTAAACAAATAAATCACTGCAAGTTACAACGCAGGATAGGAATATAACTTTTGTAAGTTGTATGAACTCAATGGGCAGCAGGAAATATACGTTTTTGGTCCTTGTAAAACAAACTTCAGAAGCAAGGCATCATAGACACACAAAAAGGGAACACATTTGCATCCATACGGATCTGAGCAGGGCAAATCTGTTGTTTATTTTTCATTTTTTTACTGAGTAAAAAGAGATAGACATGATCAACAAAAATCAACGAATATCTAGGTGACTAGCCCTAAGAATTAAACGTTCCAATTTTGTTAATATTGCTTAATATCTTGCCTCAAGATAAGTAATGTTGTTTTGTATAATGCACATGATGTGGGGGCAGAAAGATTTACCGCTCAGCAAATTTTTCCATGATGCGGTCTATCTTCTGAGCCTCTCCTGGTAGTCGGAACCCTTTGAGAAATTCACGAATTGCAGCATCGAATTTCATCCCAGAAAAGCTCATGGAATCAACATAGGCATGCATTACAGAAAGTGGGAACTCCTCGTGCTGCCCCATATAATCACCAACTTTGGCCTTAAAAGAGTAAACATTTTCAGTCTCTGTTATAAGAGCTAATTGAGAAAAGAAAGTATAAAGTATTTAGATAATTAACCTTGTCCAAATTGGGAGTGTTCCGGAGAAACTGAGCTACTGATGCTGGTGTGTTCTCTACCAAACCACTAGACACCACATAGTCTATACCTTTCTCAGGCTTTCGGTTGAACTGTCGAATTTCAATGATATTAGATTTTGAATGAGCCAAATAACATGCTGGCCACATTACAAAGGAGTAACCCCACACCCATGCTGACAACCACACTACAAAGGACAACTTGATAATGTAAAATTAATGCTCTGTTTGCTTCCTTTTTTCAACACTTTCACTAGATCTTTTCAGAACTTTTTATCAATGTATTCCCATCCCAGCATGCCTTCCTTACATTCACAATATACTTTTTACATTTGCAACAGAAAAAGCACGCACAATACAAACAAAGTTGACTTTGTTCAAACCAGACAGTATACCTCAGCAACAGCAGCTTCAAGTGTAGATTTATGAGCTTTAAGTTTCTCAAAATTACTGGGTGCATCTTCCCGGCTTCTAAGCTCATTGAAATCTTTTGCTGAAGTTTCCACTTCAGGAATTTGTTTGTGCTTCTCTGATTCCCTCTGGGCCTTCTCCCACTCTACCAATGATTTAATGACATTCACGAGACACTACAAAAGCCATAAAAGCAATGAGGGCTAAGCTCTTAAAACCCTGATTCAGCATAAAACAAATATTTTTACCGGTATCTAGCAGTAACCCAAACATGAGTGAAGCCATGCAAACAAGAATTTTACCTGAAGGGATGAAGTTTTAATCGATCCCATTTGGGAAGCAGTGACAGAATTAGGATCCATATGTTGAGTCCCTTGGGCAATTTTGGATACGATCATAACCTGACAGAGAGGAACAAGAAGAAATCATTAGATGGTATCAGCAATCCTCACTGGAAAGTTAGTTGAAGGTGATACTGAAACGACACAAACCATCCGTTCAAACAAATTAGGGGCTTCAAGATCACAATCATAGTTCACATAGAGGTCAACTAACATTTGGGAATCCTTGCAAACTTTCTCCAGCATCCTGCAAGATCAGAATCAATCAAAATAATGAGCCATGTAGAAATCACATCCAACCCTGCAAATCTACAGCATGGCCTGGACCGGAAAAGAATAAAAATGTCTCTTGCTTCATGAGTTTCCTAGGTAAGTCAAAAAGCAAAGAAGACAATAACAAGAGTAAAATTAAAATAATATTAACTTTTTTGAGATACTTATCATACCGAAGAACACTCAATTTTTGGTTCAGGTCTGAGCCATCCAAGGGTCGTAGAACAGTCAACGGAAAGAAAACTCCAATTTCCCCCTGACATAAAAAGGTTGTCATTTGCAGCAGAGGCAAGGATGACGAATATGTTAAAGTCAGTGTGAGGTGAAGTTTAGCCATTACATACTTTCAGACTTTCCCTGAACCGCAACAAGAGCACGGAGAAGATTCCAGTTGCATACTGTAAAAATTATAAATAATGGGCATTAGGATTGCATTGCAGAATGTCAGAAATGACAGAAAAAAAATGCAAAAGAAAGTCTCACTATACCTGAAATATGTTAGTAGTCTGGGACACTGATGCTCGCAATAAAGCATATGAAAGGTAAGCTTTGACCGAGTCAATGAACTGAAAGTTCTTTGTAAATGAGACACTGACACCTTCAAGTAGACCCTATATATTTCATGTGAATTGCATTAGAACAAGAAGTCCGTGAAAATAAAAGACAACTAGAAATTACAAATAACTGGATTATTATTATTTTAGTTACTACTCCAATAAAAGACAGGCAAGTTGTCACTTTCACATTCCCTTAAGACATCATCAACACCTTTATTTGTTGAAGAGAAAAACTGCAAATAGAACGTTTTCCAAATAGTAGTAGGTTACCTAGAAAACAAGATATTACTTTTAAAACTCAATTGACATTATTCTATACTGCCAAACTCATTTCTTTCGATGCCTAGCAGTATCAACAACCCACATCCAAGGTTCATCAATAGTACACAACTATTAACATTTAGGAAAGCTATAACTAATACCACTGAAACCAAGTTACAAAAACCAAAACAATAATTTTTAATAGCACGCAGTTATAAATTTTGAGAAAACCAACGACATCGGAAATGAAGTTCCGAAAAAAAAGAAAAAAAGAGTCATACGAAGAAAAAGAAGCATTTGTGATAGTTTAAAAGGCACTCTGAGAATCTGGGAATGCACATTTCTTGCAAGCAGCTTTATTCTAACAAAAACTTTTGGCAATTAAGTGAAAAGTAATTTATACATTAAAAATTCAAACTATAAGTTAACTAATAGATACTACTAGTAGTTAAACAGTGCCAAAATCAACCTGCAAAAGCTCCAACGAGAGGATGCGTGTCTTAGTAGTAACTTCATCGTTATCTTCCTTCATGCACATCTGCAAACAAAATGTAAATACAATCAGGAATGTCATTACAGGTGAAGATACCAAGATCTGAAGAAGAACCTACGTATACAAACCTTGCAGAGGGTGCGAAAGAGAAGTAACGCGTCACGTTCTCCAATGCTCATGCCTTCTAGGTCAACACCTCTGAAGTCAAATGAAAACCAGTTGCAAGCAACTAAAGACCGTCAAATGGGAGAGACATAATTACCTCAGGTTTTCAGACCCAACAAATCAAAGCTTTAAGTGCTTTCCTTACCTTGTGACTTTTTCACCCTCTTCAAGGTTCACCGCCTTTTCGAGGACGGCCTCTAAACCCTGAAAAGGAGATTTACATTTAGGTTTAGCAATCAACAAAGTCAACTTAAGTCTGTAATTAGGAAGAGATGAAATGGACCTTGATATCAGTCCCGCCCGCAAGATTTTGAAGTTCATCAACAGATGCAGGAGATGCATCTTTGACTTGATTGATTGAATCTGCATTGTCTAATGTCGTTTCTTTGTCATTTTGATCACTTGATGAAGCAGCCTCAACCTCCAAGTTGGATTCTTTGTCTAAACTAGCTTCTTTGTGCGCAGCAGAAGCAGACAAAGTTGGGACCTGGCCAAAAAAAATTCTCAGGCGTGCAATTCCAATCCTAATTCTGTGGAAGAGGACAACTTTACACTTTACTAGAAAAAGTTCTAATACATACAACATCATTCTCCATCCGTCTAAATACAAGACTGAGCATTTGCGTTAACATAGCTTTTGCAGTTGCTTGATTTATGGGACTCTTGCTAAACATCAAAGCAAGAAGTTAGTTTCACATGTAGCAAACAGTAATATCCATACGATAATTGTTAATAACTTACCTATTAAGAGCAATGTTATAGCACACTCTTATTACTCCAAGCAAAAGTTCTCCATGAACTGTACAAAAAAAAATTCAAAATCGGGTCACCAAGATAAGATAAGCAAACTAACACCTAATTATGCAACTACATGATTAGAGAAAATATGAGAACAACCCCCGATGTGAGACATAAAGCCTTTATCATTGTAAAATACTACACCATCTACCAAACCATCAACTTTGGCATTAACATGGTTAAAGCTAACAGCAGTTGAAGGTACCAACACAGGTTTGTGCTTTTTCTAGTTTCCACAACTATGATAAGATAGAACTGGCTCAAATTTAATCATACATAGAACTAGTAGTCACTTTTTCCCATAAAAATGATTCTGAGGGCTAGTGTGGTATGTACATAAATGGACAATTGCTCTTTACCCAATGCTCATTTGCATATGAAGAGAGTTGTTGGCTATGCCTAATATGGAAATTTTTCCTTTTCAAATGGAAACCCTGGTATATAAAAGAGGGAAAAATAGTTCTTAGGTGGAACAAGAACTTCATATTCTTGATTTGCACATTCAATTTGACAAGAGTTGTTACAGTGAGATTCATGTTTTGGTAGCATGGGTGGAAGCAAGGCAATAACAAAAAAATTATTAGACCGTGCACAATTGTCTAAATAGATCATATATGTTAATGTGTTTCATCATTCTGAGTGATGGAGAAATATTTCGATTTGGCTTCATGGACTTTTTCTGGTATTCAAAAAGCAACTTACAATTGAAATTCACAAATGAAAGAAAATCACAACAAAAAGATCATCAGCAAATGAATCATTATTAATAATATGGCAATGGCAACCAAATTACCGATTATCAGTGGAAGTCTGTTGTGCCTATTCGTGTGGATTTCTTTCCTTTTTTATTATTGTGGTTTGACTGTGGGAGTTAAAGCATCTAATGGGACCTGTAAAAAATCCTAAGTTCTCGATTGAACAAAAAGTCTATCATCCAGATATTCCTTCTAATGATCTACAAATCAGGAAATATGAAGAGTAGTTCCAGTGAACCACACGTGACTCTCGAATAAGAGCCCACCATAAAGAAAGAACAACGCACATCAGGGTTTTTTCTAAAACACCTTAGCAATATGTCTTAGAGGCTTCCCTACAATGAAAAAAATTCATACTAGATTGGTGGGTTGCAGAAACAAATTCCATCACAAATGCAGATAACTTAAACAATACACAAAACATCAAGTCACAATCAGAGTCTTGTAACAACAATTACTTTACAGACACACTTTCGATTATGCAAAACGGTAAACCATGATACATTAAAAAAAAATGATACAAAATTTACATGCCTCAAAAAGTCAAATGAACAGAATCAAAATCTTCTGGCTGTGTTACACACCTCTGAATTTAGTCGACGCAACAGCTGTAAGAAGTACCTTCAGGACTTGTAGAGTAGTGCTGAATGCCATATCAACAGAAATCACAACCAGAAAGATTATCTTAAGAAAAAAATAATCATTCTCATGCATCAAAAGACATACCTGTCAGGTGATGAATTATCCACACAACCGCATACCATGTTCAGGATATCCGTAAATAATGGTCCATTTAAGCCACCATCAAGACCAGGATCACCCTCTAAATGGTCATAAGCAATAAGTTTCTGCATTCCAAAAAAATAAGCAGGACGTGATGGAGTTTCAGAAAACAGAAATGACAAGAAATATGGAAAAACAGAAAAACAAAGCATCTTCAACACCTAATTTAGTTGACAAGAAATTTTCTGCGACGTCTTTAAAGGAGGAATCATCAAATTACGAAAAATCAATACTTTAGGCAAGAGACCATAACATCATTCAAGCAAGCTTTTAGAAAACGCACGATTCTCAGAAGAAAAAATCAACTCAGAAACGTCAAAAGATACTTCTACAGCATATACCTCATACCACCTTGCACACAATCTTAAATTTTCCAACATTGAAGGACCAAGGAAATTCACACAAGAAGAGAATACTTAACCATAGAAACTGAGCACGACTACAGATGAAGTATATCCAAAAAAATTGACAGTAACTTACATGGAGGCAATCCAATGCAAGCTCCACCACTTTGACATTTTTGGTCTCGAATGCTAGTCGGAGCGGGCTCAAAACAAGTTCCACATCATCTCCTCCTAAAGTATTCCCAGCATTTTCTAGTGCAGATGTGAGCGTTCCAGTCATGCCACTTGGTCTGCCCACAGGAACTGCTGCCTCAGGAGATTGCGAAGACATCGCCGATTGATCTTGTCCAGCTGCATCTTTTGTCGACCCAGCTTCTGCTTCAGGCAAACTGCTGAAAGAAGTCATGAATTAATTTTCTTTTTAAAGAAAGACAGTGAAGAATTTTGAACTGTTCATCCACATGCTGTAAAATCAACAGACAAAGCAAGTAAAAAGAGTTCAGGAAACCCAAATATTCTTCAAAGACAAAGAAAGCCCGTTTAAAATTAAATGAATCACAATAAACCCTGTTATTAAAATTCAAGAATATCAGTACAATAAAACAAAGTAAACACTGCGTATGACAATTTTTCCAATTTAGTGCTAATAATGGACTAGATCAAAATGGCATCATTTAAGAAGTGCTTCAGTATTTGTAGTGGAGTTACTGGAAATCAACAAGTCAAATGCACCAATGCATCTTGGGCTTTACTGAAACAGTCTCTCTGTATTGTAATACATCTTCAACACCAACCCCCCAACCACCCCACCCAACACCCCCCCACCCTCCCCACCCCCCAACAACAAAATTGGGAATATACTGGGTATTCTGTTGTCGTGTAACAAAAATTTCAAAGATCTCAAAGAAACGACGAGACGGAGATGAGCAGAAATAATGCCAAACAAGCCCAAGAGGAGAAGATTTACAGAACAAAGGGCCAAAAGTAGCTCAAGAAGGCACTGCAAGATCAGAATCAATGGGGAAACAACAAAAAGTAAACAAATACGCACTCATCACCTTAAACAACCCCCCAACTTCAACTGACGACTTGGTACTTACGTTGTTCCACTGGAGCTTAACTGCTTATTAGAGTTCTTCGCATTATCTGAAAAGTTACATGGGAAAAGCGGAAACCATCATTAACAGGAACATTTCAAAGCTAGAAGAATTTTACAATTTAAATAAACTAACTTCATTCTTATTTTAACAGATATAAGAATAAGAGTAGAATCCAGTATCTTTTTCCAGTCATTCTGCATTTCAACCATTGGCAATGAAAATGAAAAGGCAAACATATCCCACAGTGACAACCATAGATTCTGGTGCAACAGATTCAGTAGCCTACAAGAGAACCGCTTTAAATTCTATCTCTCTGCTTATTGCAACATAATTTATCAGCATCCATAACCTCTAACAACATAAATCAACAAAAAGATGAAAAAAATATCAAAAATAATCACCTCAAAAAAGAATCAAGCCAAAGGATTGGACCAACCAATATAAAGAAAATAAAGCCTTGAAATTTGTAATTTCATCAGAAAAGATGGAGAAAAATATCACTAACAAATTAAATGAAGAGAGGTTTAAGAGGGGAAAAAAATCCTAATTATATTGCACAGACTTGTAGTCAAATGAACCAAGCTTGAGGAACAAAAGAGATCGTGCAACAAAATCGGCACGTACAGCTCTCTGTGAATATTCCTATTGCACTTGTTATCCTTAATTGAACAAAAAGTCTCAGTTTAAGAAATACATCACTTCATGTAAATCAGTAGATCGTGAATATAAGCGAAGAAAATATATACAAATGATGCAGATATTCATCAAAGACACCCATGAACATTCCATAACACAAAGGCGTAAAATTTCAAAGTGACCTTAGATACAACAAAAGTACAGTTCAATCAAGTATAACTGTTAATATGAACATCATGCTAAATGGAGATTGATGAGACGGATTTGTAATCCTTAAAGTAAGCTAAATACTGCCACAATCAAAATGAGCAGGAAAAGACAATTAATGCCTCATACTAAGAAAATTGAAAGGAACAAGGAAAAACACCACACTGGACAAAAAGAAACAAGATTCTCAAAAGAAAATATCACAATAAGGTCCAGTTGATTTTTAAAAAACTTTTTGATCACAAGCAAAGATGGTGCATTCATTTGAACAGTCTAGAAGACCCCAAAATAGCTGTAATTATCCAAGAAAACTCAATCCACGTAAAGCTTCTCCCAAAACTATCTAGTCCTTTCGCCAATTGTTATCCCTAAAAATACTTTTGGTCTCTACACCAAAACTTGCTGAACTACTTGATTGAATAATCCACATCCTCATTTCAAAGATCCAAACAACACGTGACAGTCCAACAAACAACAAGCAGTTTCCTAAAAAAAAATAGCGAACTCTGCTTGGAGTCGCAACTCTTCCATAATGTTGGTAAACCCAATCATACACACTGTTGTTGATTAGAAGCAGTTTAGCGGAGAGGGGGTAAAAAATAATACAACTTCAATCTGACCATGACAAATGTGCAGCTTACTCGGCTGCATGCCGTGCAACAGAAACAGTTTCTGCAAGCAGCAGCTTGTTTCTCCAACCTAATGTTCCCATAACTCATAATTAATTAGTGATGACATGTATAATCTCTAGGGTCCTCACAAACTGATTGTTCAAGGCCATGATCCAAAGGATACATAACACGCTATAAAAATAAGTTCAAAACTATACTAAACATGAAGCACAGAATTTGATTCATTTCCATACAAAAAAAAAAAAAAAAAAAAAAAATCGCCTGATCACAACCTTTTCCGGTGAAACTTTAGTAATAGAACCTACAAAGTCGACGCCATTTCCACTTGGTAACACAGAGTAGAAGTTCGGATACGAATTCCAAGTACTCATTAACCAATCGCAAATCATCTCAGACTATAACACTACTGAGCAAAATCACGATAAACAATTGTGACAATGAAACAAACCTAAATAAGTCTGGATAGCGGTTTGAAGTGAAGTGAACTTCTTATTGGTGGCACACTCTTTGAGCATGGACTCAAACGCCCGCGTCAAGAAACCTCCAGCAGCACCCGCCATGTTTATCCTTCTATTTCAGGATCCCTCTCGACCCAATTCAACTCAAATCAAGAGGGCCCCCTCTGGACCTGCAGAGTTCATAAAATCAGTACAAGTAATATGAAGGAGAGCCAGATCAAGCCCAGGATTTGAAAATTCTAATGCGTAGGGCGTAAGGAATCGGTACCTTTGAGTTCAGGAGATGGAGATGAATGGCTGGCAGAGTATTATCAGTCGAAGATTTGGAATGCAGGAGAACTGAGAGAAAGAAGAGATCTGAATTTGGAAAGAATCGTCGATTCAGAAGAAGAGTAATGGCTTACGATGCTACGATTTTGCCCCGTCCCAGCTGAACCGGGGAACAACAATGCTAGATTCAGTGATTTTGGTTTTACTTCTTAATACTGCTTTAACAAGTGGAAATGGATTTTGGTTCGGGTCAAGACCCGGTTATATATTTTACTACTACATTCTAAAGAAAACACTTATTACGTCATCAAGTTTTCTCCATCAACTTGGTGCTCTCAAAAACTGAAATCCAAGTCCTTCTCTGTAATCTGCAATCCAAAGCATTCGTAATCTTGATCAACATAAGCTCCGGTCTCCCACAAAGGTCTCATTCACTCGCGCCTCTTTACTCTCTAGATGAATTTTTGCAGAGCGTTTAGGCTCTAAGGGTAGACATTGTGAATGAGTGTTCTTTATTTTGTTTTAGATTTCAATTTCTGTGCTTCTGTTAAGTGTTTTGAAGAATTGGGTTTCTGGAATCCATCATGGGTTAAGTGTTTTTTTTCTCCCTGAAACTACTAGTGCGATAAGTGAACTTGTAGTGTATGTTATTCAAACGGAAGGTTCTGACAGGGATTGTTTGAAAAACTACTCGAGACAGTAACTTTTATGATTTTCTTTTTTATTTTCTTCCGGGTCTCTCTGATGTGGACTGATTGTTGTATTTTGTTTTTTTTTTTTTTTTAAAGATTGGGGATTTTTTAATTGGTAGATAGTGCTATGAGGAGGATATTCAATCATGATTCCTGTCTTGAAAGCTTTGAAATTACATGGTCTTAAAGATGAAATAAATGAAGTGGTTAATTCCTTGCAGCTGGCATCTTTCTGAATCATGTATTTGTCCTCCTTTTGCTTACTACTTATGTGTGTTCCAATAAGTTTGAATTTGATAGCAATAGATATAGAGATATGCTGCAGCTCCGGGGCTTGCTAATATAACCGTGTCCGCACCATGGTTCCGTTTATGTTCAATATCGTAGGCTATCCACAAGATGTCAACTGCTGGAGAGCCCCATAGAGTTCAGTCAATAGCTGGAAAATGTGTGTCAGTAGTACCTCCACAATATGTACAACCGCCAGAAACCCGTCCCACAAATCTTTCAACCACCACAGGTGAGGTGCCATCTCTGCCATCAATTGATCTGGGGGATGAGTGCATTGCCCGCCTCAGGGAACAGATAGGAAGAGCCTGCCTAGACTGGGGAGCATTTCATGTTGTGAATCATCGTGTCCCAATTGACTTGCTCGATGAAATGAGGCACATGGGTAAATCATTCTTTGAGGACTGCAATATGGATCAGAAACTTCAATATTCTTGTGATCCTAATTTGCCCGCGTCAGAGGGTTATGGGAGCCGAATGCTGGTGGCCTCTAACGACACCATTTTAGACTGGAGAGACTATTATGATCATCATACATTGCCATTGTCGAGACGTAATCCTGCTAAATGGCCTCATTTCCAGTCAAATTACAGGTGATCTTGCTTGTTTAAATCGTTGGTCAAAGTTTGAATCTAATACTAAAAGTCAGGTCAGCTATAGAAATTAGCAAGGCATTTAACCTTTCTCTGGACCTCTGTTAGAAGTTTTTTATTTGCTTTCAATTTGGGGCTGGGTAAATTCTGGATCTTCTCACCTCACCGCGTCTGGGATTTCTAGGATTGCATTAGCAAAAGAAAGTGATTTTTATGTTGTTTTCGAACTAAAAATAAAAAATAAAAATTGAAAGCATAATGTTAAAAAAAAATCTCTCTTTCAGGTTTTGTTCTGATTCTGGCAGGAACTCTGTTTTTATTGAAATGACCAACATATAAAATTTTTACCAGGCAAGTAGTTGCTCAATACAGTGATTGCATGGAAGTCCTTGCAAAAAGATTACTGGGTTTGATCTCGGAAAGTCTTGGTTTGCCATCCGCTAGCATTGAAGAGGCCGTTGGAGAATTCTATCAGAATATTACTGTGAGTTATTATCCTCCTTGCCCACAGCCAGACCTTACACTTGGGCTACAATCCCATTCAGATTTCGGTGCCATCACTCTTCTCATTCAAGATGATGTGGGTGGTCTTCAAATTATCAAGGATGGAGAATGGCTGACAGTACATCCTGTGCCTGATGCAATTCTGGTTCTCATATCTGACCAAACTGAGGTACTGCATCGCATTCTTAACATTATTGACTCGTTGATAGCTGGGAATCTTTTAACTTCTGATTTGAAACTTTTTTATTATTATACTTTCTTGGGATGAGACATGCATCCATCATTTTATATCTAACGTATGATAATCCCTTATAGGTGAGTGAGATGTCTTGTCAAATTGCAATAAGTAGTCTGTAAGTGAAGGTACATAAGTGAAGCCATCTATATTGAATTAGGGTCCTTGTTTCCTTATTTTTTGCTTGATGAGCTTCTTACTTTAATCGTGGAAATGAAATTCCAATGTGACAAGACCTTGAATCGGCCTTCCCTATGCTCCTCCAGCCTACCTTCTCAACCCCCCTCCCCTAGGTTTTTGGTTGTCTAGTACTCTTTCTACCACTCTGGATCTGATTGTGTTTGATGTGTTTGGTGTTCTTATGTTTGAAAACGTACCTGCCGCTGCACGTGCTTTTGTTTTATTTTACGACTTCTTCTGCTATTTCTGTTCTGGAAACCATATTGAAAAGAAAAAGTTCATATAACGGACATAGGACTTACTAGGCTTTATGGATCGAGCGTTGTCCCACTATATAAAGAAACAAACAATTATGAGAGTAGGAGGAATAAGAATGTTGAGATGAAAGTCTGGGCAGGTTAGATTGGGAAGATAAGTAACGAACTCTTTGAAGGAGAGTGGATTTAGCACCAATAGACGAGAAAGTGAGATACACACAAGCTGATTTGGACCAGCCTATGGGAAAATTCTTCTAGAACCTGTGGATGCCTAAGTGAGGCTAAGTGGAAATAGTGATTTATTGACTCAAATTCAAATGTGAAGGACCTGGGAAAAATTGAAAAGAAATCATTCAAGATTACATTATTGACATAGTATGGAGTTAATAAGTCAATATCGGATCAAATAGCTGATATTTTAGTGTTAAGTATATATATTTCTTGTTGTATGCTTGCCACAAAAAAAAAAAAGAAAAAATTTTTCTTTGACTCTATTCATTTGCATGCAGATCATAACCAATGGAAAGTACAGAAGTTGTGTGCATCGGGCCATCACGAACGCGGAAAGGGCAAGACTATCAGTTGCCACATTCCATGATCCTGCAAAGACTAGGAAGATATTCCCAGTTTTCAAGCCGCCTGTATACCGGGAGGTGATGTATGGTGATTATGTTTCTTCATGGTATGTTAAGGGACCAGAAGGAAAAAGGAACATCGATGCGCTCCTTATCAAATGATTTCACATTGATTTCCTTGTGTAAGGTTTCGAAGTTGTTAAATCCATTGCTTAAGAGAGTACTAGGTTCTTTTTCTCCCCCATCAAAGGTGGTGGACTTATACCAGAAGCCGACTCCTCCATTGAGGATGTTCGTAAGTCTGCAAAGATGAGCATTCACATTTATTTACTTGACTTTGTTCTATCTGTGAAAGAATTGAATGGATTGTCAACCGTATTAAAAACTACGATTGATTTGAAAATGAAGATGGCCTATCACAAATGATCAAGGAGATGATCGAGAAAATCTTCTCATGAGCAACTTATTACCATTTCATTACTTGTTAAAAACGTATCAATGGAGTCATATGGATTTGGAAATTCCTCATTGCCAGGACTAACTAAAAGTTTGAATCTTTTTTCTTAACAAAATAAGCTGATCTAGAATTAAGTGATTCTATATACCAACAAAGAAAGAAGTCAATTCCATCATATGAAAAAAAAAAAAAACTAATATTAAAAAGTCAACAAAGAGAGCAAGAGCAGAAACATTATAATATATTTAAACAAAGAAAAAGAAAAGGGAGGAAAACAAGGGAGAATGTAAACGACCAAGAAATCTGAGGGCCAAAAAAACAATCAAACTTTGGGTCGTCTGTTTCTGAAAATCCACCACACCCAGTAGTTACATCTAATTTCAGATTCCCCCTTTTCCCCCTTATCATCTCCTTCCATCATCCTCAACATATATAAACCTTTCCCCCATCCATTTCCATTCCAGAGAGCTCCAAAGCTGAATCCGCCATAGCCTGTAATAAAAGGCTTTGAAACTCCTTCAAAACCTTCTCAGTTCAGCACAACTCAACCCCAGTAGAAATGTTGTTGACTGCCCCTCCAAAACTATCCATTTCATCTCCTTCCTTCTCTTCTTCTTCCCTCACCCCGAAAAATCCCATCTTTGTTACGAAATTCCCTTCAATTCTCTCCACACCTACTCACATTCCTCTCCGCCTTCAGGCCGCACCGTCATCCTCATCTTCATCCCCGACAATGATCGAGAAGGAGACCATGACGACCCACCGTCCGGATACTTTTCTTCGTGAATCGGATGAGCATACTTCGACTTCATCGGACTCGGTCCGGGCCAGGTTCGAGAAGATGATAAGGGATGCACAGGACAGTGTTTGTGCTGCTATTGAAGCTGTGGAGAATGGAAGTAAGTTCAAGGAGGATGTCTGGTCCAGACCCGGCGGAGGCGGTGGAATTAGCAGGGTTTTGCAGGACGGAGCTGTTTGGGAAAAGGCTGGGGTTAATGTTTCTGTTGTGTACGGTGTAATGCCTCCGGAGGCTTATCGGGCTGCTAAACCCAGTTCGGATAATGGCGATGTTAAGCCCGGTCCTGTTCCGTTCTTCGCTGCCGGAATTAGCTCGGTAATTCAATTTCTCTTTCTCATTGTTTTTTCCACGTCGGTGGCTTTCATCACTGGGATTTACATGTTTGAAAGTTTGAACTTGTTTTGCTTGTTTTCCTCGATTGTCACTTCTTTATGAAGTTGCTGCTCTTTAAGCAAAGATTCATTCCATTTCCTTATTGTTTGCAGGTTCTACATCCGCACAACCCTTTTGCCCCTACGTTGCATTTTAATTATCGTTATTTTGAGACTGATGCCCCAAAAGGTAAGTTGTTTGTCATTGATGACTACGATTGTGAAGTTCTGATAGCTTATGACCATGATTAGGAAACTCACTCTATCGAATTCTAAATTATATTTATCTGCTTGATTCCTGATGCTCATGTGCATAACATTTATTAAGAAATCAAAACAAGGGTAGAAGGAATGATTGCTGCCTTTTTCAATGAGCACATCACCAATGCGAGTTTCTATTCTGTCAAGTTCATTGTGGTGGTGGGCACAGTTGAAATGATGTGAGTTAGGTGGAGATAAAACATCTAAGAAGTCTGTGGTGCCCTGCTTATAAGTGTAGTTCTGTTTCTCCCAAAGTAGAAAGTTTCACTTTAATGATTATTAGAAACATTTCCATGAGCATCCCCTGATGCAAGAATTTGCTTGCATCTGTTATCGTCACATTGTTATATCAAACAAAGCTGATGATTCACAAAAATACTTCTGTGTTACTATCATATGCAGATGCTCCAGGAGCTCCTAGACAGTGGTGGTTTGGTGGCGGTACTGACTTTACTCCATCTTACATTTTTGAGGATGATGTCAAACATTTTCACTCGGTATGAGGACATTTCATACGATAAAATGCACAAAAGATAATATTGTTATGTCATTTATATGTGACACTTGTATCACTGTATGTGAACTATAAAGTATCTGCCGAAGAACTATGTTTAATACATGGTAGTTTGGTATGTTTGAGGTGAAGGAAATCGTTTTAGTATGCTTCCAGGAAGTTCAATATCATGAGGTGTCATTGGTTCCTGCGTAGTGAAATTAATATACATTTGGGTGGTTGAAATGATCTATTTCTTTCCAAATGCTTTCTGACTTAAATTACTCCATCTCTTCATTCCTGTAAGAGTATGTAAAATTTCCTAATTGCTTACATCTTACTGTTTTCTCTTTTTAGGTCCAGAAAACCGCTTGTGATAAATTTGACCCCACCTTCTATCCTCGATTTAAGAAGTGGTGTGATGATTATTTCTACATTAAGGTATATATTTCAACAGTTTCGTGTTCAAAAGTATTCTTGTGTGTTTGCATTTCGATAGATTGCATTTTGTAAATATGATCTGTGGAAATCAATATATCAAATGCACTTGCATCTTGGGTCATATTTAAACAACCTCTCTGTATTGAAAGGGGTAAGGCTGCATTGTTGTATGTTGAATGTTTGCAAACTAAACATAATTTCGTAGAATATTCCGGCAGCAACTATGCTTTGAGCTTAGATGAGATCTGCAGTTCAAGTACAAATGATAGTTCTGAATACTTTGTTGGTTTCATTGCTTAGCTTCTCTCTATTGTCAAAACTATAACAATTCTTGATTTAAGATCAGATGCGGCACTGTGTGTATCATCTGAGGAAGAAACATCGACAAAGAAACGTAAGATAAAGGACCAGACTATTTGGTGTGTTTTCCCACATGTTGGCAAAAGAAAGAAAAGGTGCACAGTAAGTTTCTGGAATAAGCCATCTAGGATGATGACGATGGTAAGAATGGCTAGTGCATCCTTTTCTGTGATTTTAACCGCTGAAATTGGGAGGAAGCTTTTATAGAACTACCTGAATGTCATGTAAAACCAAAAAATTCACGATGCTAGGCGACTAAATATGAATCTGATCAAAGTTGGTAGCTGAAATGAGAAAATGGACATTGGAAAATTTTAAGATTAGATGAAGTAGGGCAGTATGCTTAGAAAGCAAATGAGGTAGTCCAAAATTGATCTGAAAATTATAGAAACACGTTTAAGGTGGTTTTGATAGATGAGTATAAGGACTTTAGACGTCCTATTATTCCGTGTAGGAAATAGAGAATCTTCAACTCAAATGAAATAGGGAAGTAGAGTTTTTAGTGAACTTGATATCTTCAAATCAGAATGAGAATGTGTGTTTCAGTCAACTCAAGGGCGAGATATGATCCGTCCAGCCAATATTGCATTGTGCAATAGAAGCTTACATTGTTCTTATGTGGTACTTTAAAAGTCTGTGACCATATTGTAGTTTCTTCATTTTCCTTCAACTTTTGTTTTTACATCCTACCTTTGTTTAGTTATGCTGCTATAAAATGTCATGTAGCTGTTTAACAGGAATCCTGTTTTCGTTTTAGCTCAACCTTGAACGAGAACTTGTTAATTCTGGCTTCTCTTCTTAGAATGTGTTTACATGGTTGATTGCCATCAGATTTCCATTGATCACTTGCGCTCTTTGTTTCTTCCAATGTAGCACCGAGGAGAGAGGCGAGGCCTTGGGGGCATATTTTTTGATGATTTGAATGACTATGATCAGGAGATGCTTCTTGCTTTTGCTACAGGTAAATTTCCCTTGCTTTACATCTTGTGTTACGTGAAAAGAGGGTAAGTGATGTATGACCGCACTTATTGGACTATCCCAATATCATGTGTTGGCTCTAATCTTAGAAAATTTTGTAATGGTACTTCACTGAAAGTTTCCATTATTGGACTGCAGAATGTGCAAATTCTGTGATCCCTGCATACATTCCAATTATTGAGAAGAGAAAGGATACACCATTCACGGACAAACAAAAAGCATGGCAACAACTACGGAGAGGGCGTTATGTTGAATTCAACTTGGTATGATTCTAAGCTTCATCTGTCTCGGGACAATGTGTGCTCTGTTCTTTTTCGGTCTCTGTATGATCCTAAGCTTCATCATTCTGGAGATATTGTGTTACGACTGTTCTGATTGTTTCCTCTAATCTCACTATTTGAAGGTTTATGACCGTGGAACGACATTTGGTCTCAAAACAGGAGGCAGAATCGAAAGTATCCTAGTTTCCCTCCCATTATCTGCGAGATGGGAATATGACCATGTATGCACATTATTTAATATATATTGCGGGTGTGAATTGGTTGTCACTTAATGTCTTTTGATCTTATTGTTCTCTATCTGCAGAAACCGGAAGAGGGAAGTGAAGAATGGAAATTACTGGATGCTTGCATCAACCCGAAGGAGTGGCTGTGACAATTTTGTGTTGTTAGCATTAATTCCCATTTTGTAATGTGCGACGACTTGTCCATTTTGTTGTTTTTACATTTTGGGTGTATACCTTTTATTTCAGTTTGTATTCGACACATGTTAGATAGTAGTCTTCCTAATTCGTTACTGCCTCAGGTCCTGGCACAATGTAGTTGGATGTAATTTAGCTGAGTCAAATGATAGGATGAGAAGATGTGTTTTTTTGTATCATATGGTTCAGTGTACGAACTCTTATCTGTCTCGTAAAATAATCAGCTCATTAATCTTGAATGGCCACAGATGGGCAACCCTCTTTTTTTGGTCGAAACTATTATATATTTATAGGTTAGATGTCTTGTTCAAAAGACGTACTGAGACCTAAATACTCTTGTTCTACAAGTAGCGTTATACATAAAGGGGCAACATCAAAAGAATATAAGCCCTCATTGAAGTCTAGTGCTTGTTTTGCTAAAGTATCAGCACAAGCATTGTTGTTCCTAGGTGTGTATTGGAAAGTAACTTCCCAATTGACCTTTAGAAGATCCTGTATTCTTCTCAAATCAAGATTCAGATTTCTGATTTCACATAAACTGTTACACAGCTGTATAGCTACTTGTGAATCAGATTCTACAAGAAGTTTTGAGAAACCTTGTTGTTTGGCTATCTGTAAGCCAATTCTGATGGCTGCAACTTCAACCGTTTCGACTGAACATCGTCCTAGTTTCTGGCCATAGGTCATGACAAATCGGCCCCTTTCATCCCTGAACACTCCTTCAGCAGCCCCTAAACTCGTCTCGTTGCAAACCGCAACGTCACAGTTGAGTTTTATCCATGAACTTGGTGGTGCCTCCCATTGCAATCCTTTAACACAGCCCCCTCTTGTCCTCTGTTTTATCAAAGCCTCTTGGCTACAAATAATCTCTTCTGTTCTGAGGTATACTGTGAGAATTGCCCTATTGGTATCCATGATCTTGTTGTTAAACACCATATCATTCCTCCATGTCCAAATCAACCAACAAAGCAACCCCAAATTTTGTCTTTGCCTTTTCATCTTTTGTAACCAAGTTCACCCTGATCCAATCCTTAAGAGGTAAATTAAATAAGCTATGTCTATTTGCTGGTGGTACAATTGCTTCCCAGATTCTTCTTGTATAGGGACAATCCCTTAAGACATGTAGCGTCGTTTCCGTTCCTATCCAGCAATTATTACAGCTACCTGTCTCCACCATTCCTCTGCTCCTTCGCAGCTTATTCGTGGCAAGTCTACCATGGAGGGCCAACCACAGGAAGATGCGAATTTTTTGTGGTCCTGTCCAAGTCCATGCTTTATTCCAGCTTGTATCTACCTGTAAAACAGATTCATCAATCGCTAAGTAGTAAGCTGACTTCACTGAAAATTTACCTTGCTTGTTGAACATCCAACGTGAATGATCCTACCCTAACTCATGCATTGGTGGTGGTAGGCTACAAATTCTTGATGATATTTCCTGAGGTAACACCATCACAAACTTCAATCTGTCCCAACTCCCATCCAGAAGTATAAACTCTGAGACTGTTTGGTTGGCCTCTAAGTCCGGCACCGGGAACAACACATGCTCTGAGATTTAGATGTGCAACCCTCTAACTTTGAAGCAATCGGTCTTGCATGTGCGTTGCGTTCATTTATAAACACAGAGCCAATGAGGGGTGAGCTAGTGGTAGAGGCCCTGGCATCCAACCATAAGATCGCGGGTTCGAACTCCCATGGCAGTGATTTATCGCTGGCCAGCTTTCCTGCAGGATAGGAAGCAGCAGCAGCTGAAGGAGACGCGTTTCAAGGGATCGAGTGAACTAGGCGTGCATGCATGAGTCTCCCTTTTAGTAGTAGTATTATCCCCTTCCCTATAGACCCGTTTATATAATAGTCTAGACATTTATAAGGTGATTTCCAAAAAAAAAAAAAAAACTAAAAAAATTATAAACACATACAGGAGATTATTTGCAGCCTGCTTTTGCTAATTAACTCCAGCTAAAAAAAATAAAAATAAATAAAAACCCCTCACTTTGCAACCAATATTATACTCCCTCCATTCCAAAATTATTATCCAGTTTGGATTTTTATTTCTAATACAAATTGAACTAAAATGAAAATTCAAACTGGATAATAATTTTGGAATATACGGAGTAATTTTTTTTTTTTTTCGATTAGTATCTGTTGATCAGTTGAAAATGTGACACCTTTCAGGTGGGAGCACTTAGAGACAGGATGGGATAAGAATAGATTCCAGAGGAGTATTTTTTTCTTTTTCGATTAGTATTTGTTGATCGGTTGTAAATGCACACCTTTCAGGTGGGAGCACTCGGAGACAAAGATGGGATAGGAATAGATTCCAGGAGAGTATTTTTTTTTCTTTTTCAATTAGTATCTGTTGATCAATTGCAAATGCGATACCTTTCAGGTGGGAGCACTTGGAGACAAAGATGGGATAGGAATAGATTCCAGGGGTTTGAAGGTGTTGAGAAGGTTTGTAATTTGATGAAATTACAAAATTGTCACGCAGCTGTGAATGAGATACGAATTGGGATGAAAATAAAACTCGCGCTTTTCTTTTATTTTTTCATTTTTCCTTTGCACTTCAAACCTTGGAGAAGAAGCCAATGCTACGAATTATATTCCGAATTTACGTATGTTTTTCGCTCACAATGTTTTAGCCGTCACGGTTCTCATTATGTTTGCTTCTGGATATTAAATTCGCACTTCGCAGGGAGCCGTAAATCTTGGAAGCACATCTGAGGAGCAGGGACAGATCCACTTTATGTGTTCGGAGAAGCCCGAGGACACCCAGAACTGCAAAAACTTTTTTAATTTGGGTTTAAATGGGTTTATTTGTAGGGTAAGCACATCCATAATATTCATCCTCGATCCACATTGCTGAAATTCCCCATAAAAGAAAATTTAGGACTATCTTTTATTTTTAAGAACAAGCAAAACCTTGACACCTAAATAATAGTGGGCGGTGGCGGGGCCAGATTTGGACACCAGAGTGTTCGGATCTGACCTGACGCTTCCATTATATGTGAGCGTCTGCCGTAGACACCCTTGCTCTGATACAGGCGTCCCAAGATAGACGACTAACCATTCGGTTGGGCATCCACGCAAAGGCATGATAATAAGTCATATATCTTTAATTTGGTCTAAAATTTTAAATAAAATTAAAAAAATAATTAAAAAAAAATGCCGTGTTAGGCGTCCACTGTAACTACCCCATCATGGTCTGGGCACTAAGAAAGATTGCTACAACGAGAAAAGGAAAGAAAATGCACAACGAAGGCAGAAGCAAGAATCGAATTCACATGTGCAAGTCCCATACAGCGATGAAAACCAAAGGGATATAAGATTTACGCAGAAAGAAGGAAAGTTCGCTTTGTCATTTTAAATTCTTCCTATTCTCCTGCGCGGATCGATTGGGCTGCTCTGCTCTCAGCTCAAGTCAAGCGAAGTGTAGTGAGGAAGGAGAGGGAAGAAAAACTAGTATGGGTTTTTCAATGAAAAAGAAAGATTTTGGAATAATGATAGTATTTAAGCTGCGTTTACTACAAATGGGCTGAGCCCGGATCTCTTTAGCTTGGTCCAACCGGAGGAATTATAGGGGGGAAATAGCCATTCTCCCGGCAATAATGAGACAAGCTAGTATTTGCAGTGAATCCCCCTGGTAAGTAATCGTGCATTATGATAGGAGCTCCTAATTCTCTAGAAAATACAGCTCTTTTGATCATTTCTTCGCAGTAGCATTCACCCTTTTCTTTTTCCTCTTTTAGCCTGCGCTTTTTTGAAATAAAAGAAATGGAATTTCCCTCTTCCCAAACAAATCTGCGGCAACCAAAGGGGACGTAGGGGGAGATGAAACATGGCCCAATTCCTCCAGTCAGTGCTAACAAGCACTACACCCGCCTTCTCAACGAGACTCCCTAGATACCTAACCGGGGAATCCAGTTCAAACCAGATAGACAATAAAAAAGAGGAAAAACGACAATAACAAGGGAAAATCCAGACACGAGACCCTAGAAGGAGACAACCACGGAAAAAGAACTACTTAGTCCTTCTACAAAGGACAAGCACCTTACACGGCACAAGCAAAGAGAACCTAAGCCAGGAGCACTTACTCAAGACAGTTAATAAAACTTTCTGACAGCTTCATTCCCTATCTTCAATCCAGCAATTCACTAAACATTACAGATAGAGATATGGAAAGTGTCAAGTCAAGCATCAAACTAACAGGGGGAAATTTCCTTAGGACAATCTAACAAACCCAGTTACATTGACATTCTCTTTCCTTAAATTGCATTTTACACCTGCAGATGAAAATTTGTTTTAATTAGAAGTTAGACCAATAATACATATTTAGGGCAGAGCGGAACCTCAGGCCCTACTACCAAAGGACAATATCCGCCGAGCCTTGATACCAATCAAACGAGGATTCATACTGCATTCCTACGAAAGAAAAGAGACTATGAGAATATGCCAAGAAAAAATCCGGTGCCGGTGCTAATTCCGTCTCTGCTGAGCTAAAAAGGTTGACCCAGAAGTTACAATTACAGCGAAGTTGGAATAGCTTTCTATCCCGGCACGCCAGTTTTTGAGGAATGAACATGTTGCTACTGTAAAACACTAAGCGGACAATGCGCAAGAAAGAAGATCTTAGTAGTGTTTTATAAGAAAGTTGTCTTGAGAAGACTTGCTTGGCATCGGTACGGGCTACGACGAAGTTACGTCATTACATGATAGCTTACCAGGTTATTATTATCTCAAGACTGGAAACTGGAATGGAACTTTAAAATAGGTCCTACAATGGGGCTAAAGAGAGGTAAGAAAGGCAGGCTACTTAAAAAGATAAAATCTTTCATTGACCTCCACTTGGATGGAATGCTACTTCCGGATCTAGGTAGTCTATTCATTATGTGGGTACGAAAGAAAACTATGTGGCAAAGCTCGTCGTATTAAGTATAAGTACCCGCCATTGTATATA